CAAATAATGTATTTTTTTAATACATTGGTTTTCACTACTTTGGCCATTATAAAATAAATATATTTTGTAAAAGTGTAATGAATCTCGCGGGCCGGAAAAATGTTCAAGGCGGGCCACATGCGGCCCGCGGGTTGGCACCCCTGGTCTAGACGGAACTGGTTCAGGGCCTGGTTCAGCGCGTGCTATGGTATTCGCGGTTTGTTGAACAGTTTGTGTATGAAACAGATTAAAGTAACGGGATATTCAGTCTTTCTTCCATAAGAACAAATGCAGGTTTGGTGTATCACTGTTTCTCCACAAAGTAGAATCCTTCTTAAGAAGCTATTATTCGCCAATGGTCCATATCCTGAGTTATAATCGATTAAGTCGTAGTTCCTGCTAGCCTTATCATAGAGACTGAAGTGAAACACTCATCACAGATTCTACCTAGGACTTCACTAATATCTTCGTAGAAGTCTGTATGTGTGATGTGCTCAGAAGGAAGAAACAGCCCTTCTTACCAAGCACCAAAAATTATTTTGTTTCATTTTATTACTTTGATATTTTATCTGCGTCTTACAGGGCATATATAACATGGGGAATAAGATATTGTACGTAAGAACTGCATTAATGGGTACGAAATATACATGGAAATCTTCATACACATTTTTCAAGTTCACGTGAATAAAACTTACAGTCAAGCTTTTGAATTTCTCTATGTGTATGTGTGTCATTTCTTCTTTTTTTGCACGAATTTCAAGTCAGAATCTTCTCGTCGTTAAATTCAGAATCAAGGAGATGGACTTGCGTCAGTATGGTAAATACAACCATGGAAATTTACGACCTTGAACTTAAAGAGATTTGTCACATGTGAGAGGTGAGTCACAAAGCGTATCTTATGGTCCAAAATGAAAATGAAAAATCATGCCCATGCAAAAAGCCAAAGACAAGGACAAGGAACCTCACAACTGCGAAGTTTAAAACAGGAATTAGTCCTGTGTACTGTTTATATTAGGATCGTGTGGCGAGAGTAGAACATAACTTTTGTTAAAACCCCAATGTTTGCTTTTAGTTTTCAATTAACTGCTAATTATACCTACTATAAACACAGTTTATATTGTATAACGAAAACATATAAAACGGTGCATTATTTTTGATATAAAAACGAGTTAGGATGTCACATGAACATGTTCCTTTAGTTAGAATGGCTATAAATGTTGTACAGGATGAAAGTACTTAGGTTAATTATAAACCTGTTGCTAAGACGTTCAATTGACAGTAGGCGAGGAGAGTAAGGCAGAAAATACAAGATCCGGCTCGTTTCCTTGCCCTTCTCCTTCCTGAATTCAATTACATGACGTGTTACTGTTATCGGGTTCATCGACTTTAACATTAAACCAGCAATAAAAATTAGTTGGAAAAATGCAGAAAATAATAGGGTTTAATATCTGCCAGCGGATCTGGTTTGTTTACTTTAGTTTTTACTGGGCAGTGGACCGCCTGCATGAGCAAATTCTTTTTCCAAATCTCGTTCAACAGACTGACCTTAAACGGCTGATACAGCAATGGCATCATGTGAGGAGCCTTGACGTCATATGTGACCCTGAGCAAGTGGACGTTAGAAAACAACTAGAGAGATGTAGGAAGGAAGCTTCACTTACTCAAATATGTTGTAAGATTTCAAGATTTCTTATACAGACTTTCTGGTGTCAAGATGCGGATGCTACTAAGAACCTGATCAATATGGCAGTGGTGGAATATACCAACGTTATATTGAACACTAATCGTTGTCTATCTACTGAAAGTGATAACTTTGGCAGAATCCCATATAAACTACTGGATACAAGCCGATAAGATAAGAAAGGATGATCGAAAAGACGACAGACGAAGCTTCTTAAATATGACGACTGAACGGACCGAATAGCTCAGCCAGCCCGAGAAAGTGGGCCCAATAAATTTGTTTTTTTGTCTTTTCCCCCTTTCCTATCTGAAAACTGAAGTACAATCCAATCCAGCTTCCTAGACGTTGTAGTTTTATAATTCAGACAACGAACAATGTCAAAAGTACAATCTTATAACAAAACATCATCACAATCCTTTGTACTTCCCCCAGAAAATTCGGATAAACTACATTATAGTAGAGAGGGACCGGTCTGTATAATGTTCTAGTTAACTTATTTACGATAAACACTACAAATTGTGCTACTTTCTACATTACTTTTATGGATACACGTCTAAGTAGGCCTAAAAATGTCTTTAAATGCAGATATTTCACAACTTTATTTTAATTGCCGCAAAAAACCCACTTTAAATAAAGTATTAAAATTCTGAGATCTGGACGTTTCCCACCCATACAAAAACAAATATCGTTTTTTTTATATTTCAACTACGTAGATTCATATGTTTGTGTCCTGCAGGGTCACGAGACAAGAACACACAGTTAGTTCCTTCTCACTGCGTTTACTTGAAGACCATCTATCGTTCTTACATGCAATGGAGTTTATCTGTATTTCTTTGACATGTTTACGTTTAATGCCTAAGGACACCGCTATCAAGTTATGCTGTTATCACTATCAGTTGCTGACTAACGCACCATCTTACCAGAGTGACAAGGTTCGAGTGTTACAATGCCGCGTTTCTCAATAAAAACGTTTCTGTGGTATGGACCCAGCCCGAGGTGAACACGCTACGACTCTGGACCGAAGCCTGCCCATGGAAAAATACAACAGTTCGTGCTACAAGTGGGGCAAGTGGTCACGACTTCATAGCGTGAGTGGGGGATTTCATGTATCTTAAAGGTAAAGTTTGTATACTGGTATGCTGTTTAGAGCAAGTTATTTTTAAATACATAGTAACATAGAAATTATTGAGCTTCTGCGTTTCAGACTTTTGTTACGAGTCCGTTATTTTGAATATTAATTAACAACTAATGGAGATAAAACAGATGACAGTAGCTGCGAATTTAAATTCCAACTATCTGATAAGCCCATAAATAAATCAGACGCTGGTAATCACAATTACAAAGACTGCCGTCTTCTGGGTTGTAGCGCTGTGTAGTTAGGTTTCAGAGGTCTTGCTGCCTCCATTAACACGGAGCTACAACTCAGAAGACAGCCATCTTCGGACTCACCGTCGCGAAAACCTCAAATCCTAATTATGAAGACATTCTTAGACGTATCGGTGCACAAGCAGGTGTCACAGTGGGTGAAGATGGTGGCTTGATAAGATATGAATTGATGGACGAGAATATAAAATCATAAAAAGAAATGAGACTCGACTGTGTGTATATAAGATACCGTCTCTTCATTTGCCTACAGAGACAAGAAAATACACGAACAATCTCAACCACAACAGTCAACACCGGCAGAGATTCGAAAAGTTACACATATCGTAAGTCAAGAACAATGGCGAGACACGTGTTTTGTCACGAGATACGATAACATATGTTTCTAATTACAACGTGAGTCTGTAATTACATTCCCGGAGTATGTGAGGATGGGCTGAGAAGATTGTTGAATGCAAAGAACAGACATGTATCTACAGACAGAGCTTGTTGTACCCCTGTAGTAGAAACTCGTCTTATCAACCAAAACAGTCCAGTATGTTCTATTTTCTCAATCTAATCAGCCTCATGATTTCTTTCCTGTTATTAAAATAAACTATGAGTAATTGTTGACAATTTGTTAATGACCCTGCACGCTTCACCAATGAACTACAAACGTTACTTTTTTCAATGTTTTCTTTCCCAGACACAAAACTCATTTCTTAATTATTACTACTGTTGTTGGCGGCGGAGACGAATGGAATGTGATGGCCCTCCCCCCACCAAATCAGATACGGTTCGCTCTCTATAAACTTTAAATGCTATGATCGTAAACAAAATTCAACATAAAAGCGTTTGTTCTGATATCGATGGTTCATCACAAATCTGTAACAATTATTACAGACAAAATAAAATAAAGCTGAAGGAAATCATGTGCAGTACAATGACGATTAAATATTTCACGAAATCATTGCTATATTTGACGTATATGAACTCGGCTGTTGCTGAGAATTGTGCCTAAAACTGAATTCGTCCTCGTTTTCCTGCAGACGTATTCCGCGTGATTCGTGAACTACATCATCCTTGCGAGATTTGAGGATCTCACAGTGGGCAGTGTGAAGAGGGATGTTCTGGGATGATTCACCGTTTACAAGTGCAACGACGTTTCAGAGGTGCTTGCTGAGTCCATAATCAGGGCGATCGCCCTGACATCTTCACATTCGCCTCCGTGAGAACCTAAAATATTACTTTTAAATCTGTTTTGTATTTCTAGAAGCCCTTCTACGGGCATTAAAATGACTAATCGACAAATAAAATGAGTGTAAGAAAATATTATTATATTTGAATGTTTGGATCATTGTACTTTCAACTACTGCAACATGTCAAGTGTTCATCAAGGTTATTAGCATACGAACTCTGACTCTATCAGCGAGCTTGGTTAAAACATAGAGATGGCAATTTATGTTTCTTCGATCCTATATAATTCTCACATACTTCATTTCACGCTTCTAATAGACTATACATTAAAGACCACTTTGGTAATTATTGCTAAGTTTTCATGCTGTTTAGTTCAATAAAGAGACCGTATTAATTTGACGCTGAACGCCACTTAGCATCCACACATAAATGGAAAAAGCAGTGGCCCGCTGACAAGAATTCAATCCTTTATTTTCGCCATGTTTATTCCTGAGCCCATACATTCAACATCAAAGAATCTGATTGGACTAATTTTATACATTCTCTAGTTCAAACTTCCATCCCTATTGGCTACCGGTTTGCTCCTGAAGTTCTTATACAGGACTACTTTAAATATCTAGCATTCCTACACGTACAAAGCATAATTAACGTTTCAAATGCAGTCTAGATAGGCCAAAGCCAACAACTGTTCTGTTTAACATTCCTTTTCATCAACACTCCAGAATGTACTAACTTCATTATATAAGGTACCACGCCGATGTAATTATGTTAGGGACAGAGCGCAAAAGATTTATTAGGTGAAAAAAAATTGATTAATTATAGTACCAGTAAGAAAGTAACAAAATTAATCCGGTACAGCCTAAAACACCGTTTACATAAACTTTTGACATTACATATATAGTATTAACAATACTTGCTAGTTACAGCAAACATACTAACTTCATGAAAGAGAATCCTACTTGAGTAGCTAACAGTCACTCAGATAGTAGAAAAATTCCCCGCCTTTTATGGAACTCGAAAGTCATAAGTGTTCATAAGAGTCCCTCGACGGACTTCATCTTGAGGCAGACGACTGCATTTCAGTCACACACACACACACACTTTATTTCCTAAAGATCCATATTAATATTATCATGCCGCCTACATTTAGGTTTTCCAAGCAATTTTTTTATCTTCAGGCTTTTAAATCTAAACGTTGTACACATTCATCTCAGCCTTGCTCCATACCACGTCTATCCCCTACTTAGAAATGTAATTTCCTTTAAATCGAACAATTCACTTCAGCCCTGAAGATGGAGACAGTACGCGTCTCTGAAATGATGGTATCAACAGACCAGTCTACACCGGCACCAGAACCCAAAAGATCATCATCATCATCGTCTACATCGCTGTGAAAATCTTAAATCTAACAAACTCGTACTTTAATTTCGAGAACGCCTACAATATTAAATTTAATAATCTGCTTTGTGTGAAATTACAATTCCAGACACAGGCCTGTCGTCTACCGAACCAGTGTGCACGCACTGCTATAAGCGCATATTTCAACGTTCGTCGCAATACGTTGTCGGCGTCATAAAACAATTCCATTCACGCAGTGACTCCTGTCACTTTTCCAGACAACGTTCCTGTCTGAAACGAATCATTATCAGTTAAAAATGTAACCTGTCATAAACACGTATTCACCAATCCGTAACATGTGATACCGCTAGTTCGCTGCTAATAGAAACAGCAATAGAATCGCAAATACATTCTGTCGCATCTACTGTGCATGGCATGTAAGTTATATCCGAAATACACATGGTAGAGGGACATGACAACGAAAATTTCTCTCTCTCCTTTTTTTCACACTTCCTAGAACTACTTATTTTGATTCACGACTCACACTTCAGTTGCCAGACGAAATTTTGTTACTGAATGCAAGGACCTGGAACGTAGACTCACAGAATCACTCTTAGGACACACGGCTCCGCACGTCGTGGGTTATCCGCGGATCAGAGTCCTTCTAAAGAAGCACATAAGGAGCTCAGACAATCAAGAAATTCGACGTCCTCTAGGGAACCTGAAGGCTCAGCACCGCATTTACAAAATTCGCTATCGGTCCGACCTCTGAATCCAATCAACACCCTCCAAAACTATTTCCCTAAGATCCATTTCAATTCTATTCCCCCATCAACACCAAAGTTTTCTGATTTATATCTTCTCTTCAGGAATCTAAACGTTAAATTTGTACACATTTCTCGTCTCCCCCATGCATGCTCTATATCCCGTCCATCTTATCTTCCTCGATTTTGTCATCCTAATATGAATTAGTGGAGCACAAAATAATAAAAAAAGTTCCTTTATCCGGCACCGAACTCAGATTTCGCCACTGAGAAGCCAGCGTGTAGCGTACACGCCTGAACTGTGTCGGCATAATAACAACAAAACTGCAAAAGTGTAACAAACATCGAAATTAAATTTCATCCTGTGTTTTTCGTAAAATTTTACTTCTAAATGCGCGGAGGCTTCGGAAATACAGTTACTTCCTCAACCATCGATATCGCCTATGAAACGTCCGTCAATTTCTACGAGGCTACACGGCGCAATATCCTAGAAGACAGCAATCTTCAAAGTTCTTAATACCTTCCTTCCGTCACCAAAGAAATCAGCCAACTTTAATATGCAAGGCTTCATATTAACGGTTGATTAAAGATGACGAGCTCTTTTTTTGCTTTAGTCGGTTTCTGCTTAGAAATCGCTGACCCTTCACCGGCACGAAAGCATTATTAAAACTTTAGTTCCCAGAAAGAACCGCCCGCAGCATTGTGGTGATCACACGCCAACATCATTATTTACCATTATCAGCGACGTGCCTGTTCTAACATAATCTGCGTTATGGCGTCGATGTTTACAAGCTTCGTATTCTTATTCCCTTTCCAAACTAAAGCTGTCATGGAACTTGTGAGACCGGACGTTTTAGCATAAAAAGTCCCAGGTATTTCATAGCGAAATTACTCAAAAAATGTCTTTCTTCTGGATTGTAACGTCATGCAGACTCGTTGGTAGATGTCAACGTTTCGGAGAAACACAGTCTCCAACTTTACCCCTACCTTCCCTCCCTTCGACCCTAACTTAACATTTCCCCAACACCGCCACTTCAGCCCTGAAGATGGAGAGAGTATTCTTCTCCGAAACTTGGTCATCAATATCCTATCCGCGGCCACTGCGTTGTACGCGCACTCCAGAATTTTAACTCTGGGGACTGCAAATTAAGACCTCTCGTGATCTATCACTCAGAAAATCTACGGGTATTTATGCGTCTCCCGTTTTCAATTTTTTTTTCTTTCGAAAAACGCGGTGACACGCAAGAACACAAACACGCCCCCCCCCACCGGTACGACCAGAATAACTTTTTTTAAATTCACACATTTATAGGTAGTTTCTGCCCCTTCCTTTCGTAAAATAATAATGAGGAATTTAAATCATCTTAATTAGTTTTTGATATCGAGCACGGGGACTGCCAGCCTACGCTTGCAACACTGAGGCCAAGCGAACGAGTTCTGTCACGAATGTTCCTCGACGAGGCAACAGGTCACGACATTGCTCAAGGTAAACTGCCGTAATGTTAGGATATGGGTGCCTGAAATTCACGTGACAGCCACGTACATGATCGCAGCGATCCGGAAGTTAACGTCGATAGATCCGTCCTTGAGAAAAGAGATAAGTTTGTCTAGTCCTTGGCCGTTTCACGAAAAGCGAAGTTTCATCACACTGGAAAAGTGAAGTCTCCCTGAATGCGAAACAAAAATTATAGAAGCAGTGATGTGAAACACAAAGTCTGACCCCAACTTCTCCTGATATTATTCAGGCTGGAAACTGCAGTAGAACGGGCGCATCATTCCACAGGATAGCAATCTTCAAACCCTCGCTGTGAGAACCTGAAATCTCGCCTAGTTCTCCTTCCTGTTGCTACTGTCACGCTCTACAAGTTTCAGATCATATGCCATGAAGTGGATATTGAAGAGCGGGCTTCATATCCCTAACGATGCACACGTTGAAATAAAGTTGTGTATAAAACAGCAAAAATAAACGTCTTGCATAGATGGTAGTCTTATGGGTTACGCCATGCAGTATGTTAATTATGCATATGCATACTAAATTTCACATCTATAAATGCTTTAATTATGGGCATAAAACTAAAATCTTAATTAACACGCATCGCGAGACCTCCAAGTCGTTGTTTTACATTCTACCAAAAAAAAGGTGATAGTGGAGCCACGGTTCCGGAGAATTACACGTAAATATGTCTATACGGCAAGGAATTTTATATATTGACTTTATTCTAAATATTTTCTTTATACACGTTTTACAATTGATTAAAATTTTAGTAAGATAATACTGCCTACCTTGAATTAGTTACGCTTAAGATGGGTCTGTGGTAGCTGAAATATGTTATAAAATTTGTACATTTTAGAGTATCAATATATCGTGCAAACACCATATCTATACAAGATTTTGATCTAGTAGTACTACATTGAGGATTTGACAT